TTATATTATTATAATTAATTTTATTTATTTATTTTCTTATTATTATTTTTATAAAATTAATAATTTTAACAATAAAAAATAAGAAATATTTAAAAAATATATTTAATTGTTTTTAAACACGTCTTTATTAGTCATTGAACATTGAACGACAACTGTTAACTATTATGTAACTAAACAGTTATATACAATTTACTATTTGCTATTCACTAACTCTTATCCATTGAATTTTAACTACTATACTAAATAAACCTTATGTTGGGTACATTGTAAATCCTCAACTTAATACAACCATCATGTTCTTTAGCAATTCCAATCATCCTCCCTGTAGCTAGATCCCAACACAATGAGAATTGAAAAATGGTTATTTTACAGTTGAGCTTTTTAGTTATGAATTGGGATGAGATTAGTGGACAACTTGGGAATATGTAAGACATTTTTCAAGAAAATTGAAGAGGTTAGGTTATACTTCCCTCACCAGCAATGGAAATGGGAGACCATCTGCTACTGTGTTTTTTTACCCTTTTTTCCTGATGGGATTTGTAAGACTCAAAGGTATTGGGGTCGTAAGTCATGTGATGGTTTGCACCAGAATCAATAATCCATCAACTCAATTGTACCGTACGTGAAACTTTAGGAGGTTCAATAAAGAGGCACATACCAACTTGAGCAAGAGAGCAAGAGCTTGAAGATTTTGAGGTATTGGTTGAAACAGTTCACATTCTCAAGTAAGTTTAGTGTTGGCATTAAAGGCCAATTTTGGATTTTGGTTTCGAAGAAGTTATGGAAAAAGGATGGTAGTTGGTTGCAACGAAGGAAAAGCCAAGATTCTTGTGGCAATGAAGCTAGGACTGCTTTGATACCTTGAAGAAATTAGGGTAAAATCTTCTATATTTCTGAAATAGAAACTGTACGTTTAACAATTCTGGAAAGACCGCCACAAAATCATGAAAAAGCTCTACCCATGATACACGTAATTACAATATTAACTGAGGGAGAGATTTTAGGGATTCTAACAATTACCATGGGACAACTGCTGTATACTTAATTTACGTTCTAGCTAGCTTATTTGTTTCTATCATTTATAGTTTAGCTTTCCTCCCCATATTTCTAATTTCTAGTACTTCTGCAGAAACCAACCGGGATCATTTCTCTTCTTGATGAAGCATGGTAAAACAATCTATCTTTGCTCATGCTGTGACACTGGAGGAATGCCCTTAGTTCCTTTGCAGTTTCCTGATTTTAATATTCTGTTCAATGCTCTTTTTTAAAGGTCTAACGTCTTTTTTTTTTTCCCCTTTTGATCTGCTTCTTTGGCGGACGTTTTTGGGCCTGTAGTATGTTTCCAAAGTCAACCCATGAAACATTTGCGCAAAAGCTCTATCAGACATTCAAGGATAACAAACGTTTCATTAAGCCAAAACTGACTCGTGCAGATTTTACCATTGTCCATTATGCGGGAGAGGTGATCAATGGTTTCCTTTTATTTTCTATCATATTTGTTGTCTTCCAATGTTAGGTTCCAATGAGTTTAAGTGTTGTCATTCCACTAACTTGTTTTCAGGTCCAATATCAGTCTGATCAGTTTTTAGACAAAAATAAAGATTACATTGTTCCTGAACATCAGGATTTGTTAAGTGCTTCCAGATGTTCTTTTGTAGCTTGCCTCTTCCCATCACTTTCAGAGGAGACAGCTAAATCTTCCAAGTTTTCATCTATTGGTTCTCGTTTTAAGGTATCTGCGTTCCTACTTTGTTATAATATTTCTGTAGGGTTGTGGCGGAACACCTTTTTCTTATATTATAATATCCTTACTTTTTGAAAAGCAGAAAGTTAAAGTCTCATCCTGATTGGTGCAGTTACAGCTACAACAATTGATGGACACCCTACATTCAACTGAACCCCACTACATCAGATGTGTGAAACCAAACAGTGAATTAAAACCTGCAATATTTGAAAATGTCAATGTATTACAGCAACTACGTTCCTGTGTAAGTACACTTGGAACTGCATTATAGTATTTGCAATGATTAATTTAACTTAAAATTCATTACTTGCTTGGTGTTACTTATTTAGGGAGTTCTAGAGGCAATCAGAGTAAAATGTGCTGGATTTCCTACTCGTAGGACCTTTTCTGAGTTCCTAAGACGCTTCACCCTTCTTGCACCAGAAATTTTGCAAGAGAAGTGAGTATTACCTGTTTTTTGAGACCAATCAAAAGGAAAAACGTTCACACACTTTGCTTGTTCACCTACTAGTTCCTAAAAAAATTCACAAGGTTAAATTGTAATATTGAAGTTACTGCATTCCTGGACAGCTATGAAGAAAATGTTGCATGTAAATGGATTCTAGGAAAGGCGGGGCTGACAGGTTATCAGGTAATACTGGAACTTGGTTTTGTTATTTTCTATTCCTTTCATTGACCCTTTCTTTTTTGTACTTTCTAAATTTTCAGTTTTCTTTTTCTTGGTATTAATCTTGATCTTAGAATTGAATATTTATGATGGTTTTAGTGATAAAAATGTGTAATACTGAACTTGATATCCTTGTCTTTTATTTGTTGTCCTTTATGAGTTTTCGGATGATCTCTTACTAGGTGTTGACTTTCAGATCAAAATGATTCTTTGACAATTAAAGATTCAAGATACTTGGACTCAACATTTTATTGGTGGTACACCATCTTTAATTATATTTCAACTTCTAAGCAAACTTCTATCTTCATGCAAGATTGAAGTAGGTAGAGCATGTCTGTGGTCATGAAGGACCATGCATTGTTATATGCATGCATTGTTATTTCCATGCAAGAGGTTAATCATCCATACATTGCTTTGCAGATTGGGAAAACAAAGGTTTTCCTAAGAGGTGGTCAGATGGCTGAACTGGATGCAAGGAGGGTGAAAGTGCTAGGTCAGTCCGCAACAGTTATTCAAAAGCAAATTAGAAGGCACATAGCTCGCAGACATTATATCATTATGAAAAGGGCCTCTATACGTATACAGGCTAATTGGAGAGGTAAGATGATTAGAAATAGTAAACTTTCTTCTTGAAAATATGGTAACATTAAGTTTGTAGTTGTTAATGAAGCCTTGTTGCAATGTTACCTGTTAAGGCAGAGGCACTGCAATCATTAGGTCTCAGCTTTGGATTTCACTATATGTGAAATTTTCTCCCCCATGTGTCAGTTCTTGTGCAATATTTGGTAAACCTCATGGGAGGTCAATGATCTTTCTAGGTTATAACATTCTGGTCAATGACTTTTAAAACCTAACATCCAGATCACTGACCTTTATTAAGCATAACATTCAGGTTATTGAAAGTGCATTTCCATTAAAAATCTTATTGTCATGAGCTGCATTTAGATCACTGAAACTGTTTTGGTTCACTGTATTTAGGCTTCGTTTGGGAGTGTTGTGCTGTTGCTATAGGTTTTTCTGTTGGTTAGGGACCTCCCATAAGTGTATGCTATTTATAAGTGATTGACTGACTGATTTAGTTTTGACGAGAAATGATGTTGTAACTGATTATGATTTACTTTTAATCAACTGAACCCCAACAAGAAAAAAGGGTTTAAAGTAAATAGGGATATACTGGGAAATTTTCAACTGAAGCATGCTACTACAGGGAAGCTTTGTCTTGGAAGGCTGGCACGTGAATTATATCAAAATATTAGAAGGGATGCAGCTGCTGTCAAAATTCAGAGAAATTTGCGCAGACAGTTAGCCAGAAAGAGATATAACGTTGTCAGATCTGCTGCAATTGTACTGCAGACAGGATTACGGTCCATGGCTGCTCATAATGAATTATTATTTAGAGTGAAAGTGCAAGGCCAGTCTGCAACTATTATTCAAAAGCAAATTAGAAGACGTATAGCTCGCAGACATTATATTATTATGAAGTGGGCCTCTACACGTATACAGGCTAATTGGAGAGGTAAGATGATTAAAAATAGTAAGCTTTCTTCTTGAAAATGTGGTAACATTAAGTTCAGTATATAGGTGTCAATGAAGCCTGGGTGCACTGCAATGTTACCTTAAAGGCAGAGGCACTGCAACCATTAGGTCTCAGTTTTGAATCTCATTTTATGTGAAATTTTCTCCTCCATGTGTTAGTTATTAATTTATTATGCAATATTTGGTAAACCTCAGAGGTCACTGATCTTTCCAGATTATAACATTTTGGTCATTGATGTTTAAAACCTAACATCCAGGTCACTAATCTTTATTAAGTATAACATTTTGGTTATTGAAAGTGCATTTCCATTAAAAATATTAATGTCATGAGCTGCATTTAGGTCACTGAAGCTGTTTTGGTTCACTGCTATTTTTCTAATGAGTTTTATAAAATGCAATTCAGCTTTGAGAGTCAAGGTTTTTAATGGAAATGGGTTTTGAGTAACCTCAACGTCATACTTAACAAAGTTCAGTGAACTAGATGTTATGTTTTAAAGTTCAGTGACCCAAATGCTATAAATTGAAAAGTTTAGGGACCTCGCATAAGTTCATGCTATTTGTAAGTGATTGACTGATTGATTTAGTTTTGATGAGATATGATATTGTAACTGATTTTGATTAACTTTTAATCAATTGAACCTCAAAAAGAAAAAAGAGTTTAAGGTAAATAGGGGTGTACCTGGAATTTTTCAACTGTAGAATGCTACTGCAGGGAAACTTTGTCTTGGAAGGCTGGCACGTGAATTATATCAAAATATCAAAAGAGATGCAGCTGCTGTCAAAATTCAGAAGAATTTGCACAGGCAATTAGCCAGAAAGAGATATAACATTGTCAGATCTGCTGCAATTGTATTGCAGACTGGATTACGGTCCATGGCTGCTCGTAATGAATTATTATTTAGAGTGAAAGTGCAAGGCCAGTCAGCAACGGTTATTCAAAAGCAAATTAGAAGACATATAGCTCGCAGACATTATATTATTATGAAGTGGGCCTCTACACGTATACAGGCTAATTTCAGAGGTAAGATGATTAAAAATAGTAAGCTTTCTTCTTGAAAATATGGTAACAATAAGTTCAGTATATGGTTGTCAATGAAGCCTTGGTGCAACATTACCCGTTAAGGCAGAGGCACTTCAACCATTGGGTAGCAGCTTTGAATCTCACTATATGTGAAATTTTCTCCTCCATGTGTTAGTTATTATGCAATATTTGGGAAACCTCATGCGAGCTCACTGATCTTTCCAGGTTATAACCTTTTGGTCGCTGATGTTTAACACCTAACATCCAAATCATTGATCTTTATTAAGTATAACATTTAGGTTATTGAAAACACATTTCCATTAAAAATCTTAATGTCATTAGCTGCATTTAGGTCACTGAAGCCATTTTAGTTCACTGCTATTTAATTTAGTGACCTTTATATAATGCAATGCGGCTTGCAGTGCCAATGTTTCTAGTGGAAATGGGTTTTCCAGTAGCTTAATGTTATACTTAACAGAGTTAAGTGAACTAGATGTAATGTTTTAAAGGTCAGTGACCCAAATGCTATAAATTGAAAAGTTTAGGGACCTTCCATAAGTTTATGCTATTTATAAGTGATTGACTGATGGATTTTGTTTTGATGAGATATGATATTGTAACTGATTTTGTTTAACTTTTAATCAATCGAACCTCAACAAGAAAAAAGAGTTTTAAGGTAAATAGGGATAAACCTGGAACTTTTCAACTGAAGAATGCTACTGCAGGGAAACTTTGTCTTGGAAGGCTGGCACGTGAGTTATATCAAAATACCAAAAGGGATGCCGCTGCTGTCAAAATTCAGAAGAATTTGCGCAGACAATTAGCCAGAAAGAGATATAACATTGTCAGATCTGCTGCAATTGTATTGCAGACTGGATTACGGTCCATGGCTGCTCGTAATGAATTATTATTTGGAGTAAAAGTGCGAGGCCAGTCAGCAACGGTTATTCAAAAGCAAATTAGAAAACGTATAGCTCGCAGGCATTATGTTATTATGAAGTGGGCTTCTATACGTATACAGGCTAATTGGAGAGGTAAGATGAATAAAAATATTAAGCTTTCTTCATGAAAAGGTGGTAACATTTAGGTGGTCATTGACTTTTAAAACATAACATCCAGCTGATCTTTATTAAGTATAACATTTAGGTTATTGAGAGTGCATTTCCATTAAAAATCTTAATGTCATTAGCAGCATTTAGGTCACTGAATCTTTTTTGGTTTACTGCTATTTAATTTAATGACCTCTATATAATGCAACGCAGCTTGCAGTGTCAAGGTTTCTAATGGAAATGGGTTTTCAGTAACTTCATTGTTCTACTTAACAGAGTTAAGTAAACTAGATGTAATGTTTAAAGGTTAGTGACCCAAGTGCAATAAATTGAAAAGGTTAGGGACCTCCCATAAGTTTACACTATTTGTGAGTGATTGACTGATTAATTTAGTTTTGATGATATATGATATTGTAACTGATTATGGTTTACTTGTGATCAATGGAATCTCAGCAAGAAAAATGAGTTTAAAGTAAGTAGGGATATCCTTGGAATTTATTCAACTGAAGCATGCTACAGGGAAATTTTGTCTTGGAAGGCTGGCTCGTGAATTATATCAAAATGTCAAAAGGCATGCAGCTGCTGTCAAAATTCAGAAGAATTTGCGCAGGCATTTATCCAGAAAGAGATATGATGTTGTCAGACATGCTGCAATTGTATTGCAGACAGGATTGCGGTCCATGGCTGCTTGTAATGAATTACTATTTAGAGTGCAGACCAGGGCTATAACTATTGTTCAGGTTATTTGCTCAGCTGATTATTTACATTTTTTCCCCCTCATATTTTCCTGCAATGTTAAAGACATTTATGGTTTACTAGTGGTTTATTTGAGGATTGAAAATTGATGGGTCTCTAACAATATCATTAGAGAAAGGTTTGGAGTGACTGTCTTGGGTGCTATTGGAAGTTTAGTGGTGAAATGCTACAAGAGAAATTACATAAGATTCATATAGTGTGGATAAACTGGGGATATTTTCTTTTAATTGCCAATAAAATTTTCTAGACATATGTTGCTGATAATCTAGGCTATAATGCTTTGGTATATCAGGTCCTTAGAACCACAATAATGCCAATAGTTGTTGAGGCAGAGCAGGCAAGCCAAAAAGTGGCAAAGCCTGGATTGCTGTTGCTGAATAATTGCATATTAATGGTGCAAACTTTTACAAGTTTCTGAGCCTAGATGGTGGAGAAGGTTGCAAAAATGATGCATTGAGTCAGATTACTGTGTCTTATATATTGGTGATGGTTAGACATGTCAAATATTTGTGATAAAAAAGGCCTTTAGATATCTTTCCCCACTTTTTCAACATTGATATCAGTAATTAAAGTGATGAGAATCAATAACATATTAGCAAGGACTTCAAAGAAGTGAGCACCTGCCATTCAATTAGTCTTTTGAAGTAAATGTTCTATGTTGTGAATTACAAGTGAGGGACTGGAAACATGAAACTCATATCATTAAATGTTATATCTCTCATTTTTCTTGCAATTCTGATTTTCATCTGCCTTCATGTGTGTACTTATGGCATTTGCTATTTTTATTCAGGATGAAAGAGAAACAGATAAAATAGAAACAGAGGAGTCTACAAGTCCAGAGTCAGAAAAAGAATTGGTGGTAAGATGCATAAAATAGGCTATCTTCATATGTGTTTTCATGCATAGAGCATAGTTATTCACATGCATAGTCCGTTATTGGAATTGAAATAACTTTTTCTATGTTGACATTCCATCTGGAATCATTTGAATAATGGTTGGAGGAATGATGCTTAGTAAGGAATTTTAAATTTATCACCATCAAATTTTCGATCATTATGGCCGTCTACAAAGTTCCAGAATTTTTTTCAATCTATGCCAATTAAAGTGGATGGACTGACTGCATTCCCACAAAACAGAGCATACTTGCAGGGGAACAGGGACACAATGTAGTTTTCCCTTTTATCCAGGAGACTTCAAGCCCACCAACAATTGAGACCCTTGCTGCACAAGTTCAAAAATTAAAGGTAATGTTGATAACACCTATATGGGCTATTCGTCACTTAGAATTATGTACTTCTCATACTTCATTGTAATGTTTCTTTGGGAGTTTAATGAAAGCACAAAAAGGAAGTCAAACGTTATTTCTTTGCTAGGGTGCATGCTTTGTTAAAAATAATAAGGCTGCTGAAATTTTACAAATGACTAAACCTCTATGATCTAAACGTTATGAATTGATAATGTCTCTGTAGATAAAATGAAAAGTGCATAGCAAGTTAAATGGAGGTCATCCAAAGATAATAAATCAGTTGCAAATAGGCAGTTAAGTAGTTTCCATTTTAGCTTGGAATTTTGAGTGAATGCCAAGTGAATGACTAGTTCTTTAACTCACTAAATGCAGTGATATGGATGTTTCTGTTAAGAAACTTTGCTAGTTGTTCTGTCCTAGCACCTCTTAATGGAGCTGACATACACATCACTGTGCCTGGGGATTGATTAATTAGTTAAGTAGTAGGGGTACCTCAAAATGGGCTTGCAATCATATATATTGAGCTTGTAATAGTCAGTTATGTTCTTTCTTGATTATTGTTCGTGGCAACATATTCTCTGTGCCCAGCAGCCTAAACAACCATAAACTTTATCATTTTCACTCTTTTACATGTCCTAAACCTTAATCTTCTTTTACTGGAGTACAAAACCTAATTATGATGCAATTAAGGAAGAATCCATAAGAGTCAAAACAAAAAAAAGAGGAAGAATCCATGGAAGAATAATTTAGGCTTGTTGTTATGCAATTATAATTATTTAGATTTTATATTGCAATTTCAAGAAAAATGGTTAAGTCTAGGTTATCCTTAGTTTCCCCGTTGTTGGAAATTTAATAATGGACTTAAGGGAAGTCAATCAAATGGAAGTTTGGCTTTACAATTGCATGGGCCTTGGGGGAGAATGGACATGTTCACACATGTTCATTGGATTCATGGGTTTCTACCGATTTAAGGCACCCCATCTCTCTGTTCTTTTTGAATCTGGGACAATTTTTCGTTACACATCTAAATGCACAGAGGGATACCTAACTCCCTTCAACACCTATTTCTATTAAGACTTTGTCTCTATTAAAATCAAATTAGGTTTTGGTGAGTTTTTATTGGGGTTACTGAGTCTTATTAAATACGATTTGATTTTATTATCAAAATTTTGGTGTCTATTTTGATTAGAAATATTTTCTTCTCATACATTCTCTTGTACTTAAGCAATTCAATAGGTTATGAGTTTACAAAATTATGGAGTGAGTCGGAGAACTGAGTTTCTATTGCATTCTTAACCTTTTCTCTTTCTCTCTTTTCTACTTCTTTCTTGTTGCTACAATAGCTTGGTTACCATGCACAGCATTCCAAACCCTTCTGCAACTTCTATTCTATCCTAAATCCATTCCAGATCCCTAATTCTTCCTACACAAGAAGAGCTTAAGGACAGATTCTTCAAGGCTTTCTTACATCAACTAATTGTCTAACACTTAGCCAATCATAGGTCCTTGTATACAGTTCTCATATCTCTCCCATTAACATAACTTTATGGGAGTTTGACTATTTTGCAAACAAATATTTATGTTGAATGGTATTATCTGTCTCTATACTAAGTTGAGATTGCATTTATTTAGTCATTTGGTTTGTCCTCCAACATTACCTATCCCTGTGTGTTTTTTCTTCTAGTTATGACTACATCTCAATAACACAGTGATTACTGCAATTAACCGGTCTGTGGGAGTCACCATCAGGCTGACATCTATGTGCAATCTGAAAATGATTGTGTTGGTGTCTGGTTTAATTTTAGACTTGACATCCTTTGTCATATCTTAGTTGAATCTATTCTCCAAGATCTTAAGTTTAAGATCTGTAATTAACGTGGTGTAATTTCTTATTTCACAGGTCTTGTTGCTAGCAGAAAAACGGAGAGCTGATGAATCTGAAAGGAAACTTGCTGAAACCAAGCAATTAAGTGAGAAAAGGGGCAAGAAATTAGAAGAAACTGAAAATAGAGTTTATAAACTTCAAGACTCTCTGAACAGGTACTATATACTCTGGTCACCGAATTATGTTACCTTTCAGTTCATTGTGACTATATCTGAAAAGTTATTTTAGTATATTGTAGTTTCAGATATCAATTTCCCATTTTTCCCTAGTATACTGGAGTTAAGATCATTCTTAGATTGATTCAGAATTCTGCCATCAAAGATATCCCTGAACAATAATGGTTGAGATGTGGAATGAGGGTTTTTAGCCTGAACAAGATCACAGTGTTGGTGCATTTTCCGTAATACTAATAACCTGGAAAGGAACAGAGGCTGCCTCATTCCTTTATGTATATATATATGTATGTATACTGCTATTTATTTAAATTTCAATTATATGCTTTAATTTTTGAATAGTAAATGGGTTCTAAGATATTACCAATCATGTCTTGGTTTTAGTTTCTATATAAGATTCTTCTTCCTAGTGATTGAAATTTTAATATATGCCCTGATTTTTGGAGAAGTACACTAACACACCCAATTATGTTTTAGTTTCTATATAAGCAACTCACAGAAATTTATAGCTTTTGCGGTAGATAGATTGATGAAAAGGTTACTAGGTACTTAACTTTTGATGAGTCTCACCAATTCTCAGTTTTTTGGTGTTTTATTTGTTTTTATTTTACTTCTTTCCTTTTTCCTTTTTACAGGGTGTTTTCTACTAAACTTTTCATTATTGAAACTTCTGTACTCACAAAAGCTTGACCTTTCCGTTGGATTGCTTGGGGAAAGTGATTCTTTAGATATAACAATGCTACAGGACTCATCTTTATTTTCATTTCTTTTTTAATCACATTTATTTGCACTTCTTTGTTTCTATATAAGTTAGATATGAAAAGAAAAAGTCAGAAGGAAAAGGTAATAGTTTTTGAATGTTATGTTACATCGGCACAATGTGATAGGCTTTGGTAGATGGAAATCTTAGATTTTAGGAAAATTATTTTTTCGTGTTAAAATATTAACAACTTTCCTCAATGAAGGATTTTCTTCAAACTCTGTACATTGATGAAGACCATTTTTTTAAATTTTACTTTGGATTGAAAGTGACACATATATTAGTTAAAAGAAAATTGCAGAAGAAATGCTAAATTAATGTACAAAAACATGAAAAGGGAAAAAGAAGATGAGAGAGATGACATACGGATGTCATTCATATTTAGCCTCTGTGGTATTTTAGATATATCCAAACTAGCCACAAGCAGTTAATTATGACTCTGTTGTTAATCACCTGTATGTTATTTGACTAATGCTAGATCTGATCTAGTGTGTCTCAGGCTGTTATATTCCATGTCAGACCAATTTTCACAGCTCAAATCGATATTGCAATCACCCCCACGCACAACTTCAACTTCTCAACCTATTGTTCGAGATAATTCCTCCAGTTCAGATAACTCTTCATCAAGTAGCTCAAATTCCTCATCCCTGTCTCCAACTCTGGCTCCCACCTCAGGTAATGCATCTGCTGTGGATTCATCATCCCCGCCTTCAACTCCAGCTCCCACCTCAGCCAATGCATCTGCTGTGGACTCATCATCCCCACCTCCAACTCCGGCCCCCACCTCAGCTAATTCATCAAATGTGGACCCCACTGCTATAGAGAAAGGAGTTCGGAATCGCACAGCTACAGAATCTGCAGGTTAGTCTAGCTTTCTTGGTGTGAATTGATTTAGATTGAATGCTGTTGCAACTAATAAATAACATCATGGCTAGGTTAGCAGTATAACGTCTTGGGAATTCACTAGGAACTTTTGCTTTTCGGAGAGAATATGCCTGATTTTAGCAATGCATTCCTTATAGATGCCAAGTTTTCAATTAATAAAACATATTGCTTAACTTTTAAAGTTGCTTTTGAGTTTTGTTTGATCAGATGTGAGGATGTTCTGATGGTGTCGCTTTTCTTCCTCTTGGTGATTGCATCATGCAGGTTCTGAAAATTGGGAAAGTGATAAGGAGGGGGCCTTTGATGACTACTTCTGATGGAACTTATTTTGCTTATGCCTGTTGCTTTTAACTTTAGATGCCAGTTAGATTAAACACGGACTTAATTAGCATAATAAGGTGCCTTACCTACACTAAAATGATTTATTATACATGGGAAACTGTAGATAGCACTAAGTTTCTGAGGATCCTCTAGCTCAATTTAGTCATATCACCCTGTCAAAATCATTTCTAGTGAATGAAGATTAGTTTTGTCTGTTTTAAAGAACATCTTGTACTCTCATCTCTAACTAGTTTCAATAGTGCATAAATAATCCATTAAACCTCCAAATATTAATTCTTACAGCTTTGTGTCTCTACTTTATATTATTAAATGAATTTTGGAAACACAATGAGATGTGCTTTGTGCTTCATCAAAGACAAGGGATCATCCAGCAATGCATCCACGGTCACAAAGTACTGTCGAGAAGCATCAAGAGGACGCGAAAGAGGCTGACATATAACATAATGCTGGCCGCAGCCTCTTATCCAAGGCCTTCACTGCTGAAGATTTTGCACAACATACAGACTGGCATCCTGAAATGGATGATTCAAAACCATAGGTCATCCTTATTGAGGTTTCATCTACAAGGTTCAAAGACACCTTTCCTTTCTAATGTTGAAAAGAGGATCTTTCTTAGCACTATGTGAAAGAGGTGATACGGGTTTTGTATCTACAATTCAATTCTAATGATTAATCAAGTTCTGGTTTTCTAATCATCAATCATATCATGTTTCTTTGTACTTTTGCAAATACTTATAGACCTTATGGCATCGATATATACATTACGACCATAGGCTTTTCTCATAAAGTAATTAGTGTCATATTCATTGCATGGTGTTGTTAATCTGTTGTAAGTAGGGTTGAGATGAAAGGCTGTAATGTAATTTTCTGAGGCTGTATCCTTTTAGTTGACTGTAATTTAGGGGCATCATTGTACCAACATTCACAGGACACGGGCATGTCTTCTTTGAAGAATGCACTCATGTAATTCCCTCATGCAGTCAATACCACTGATAGGTTCAAGAAAGTTGCCACATTCTTATTTTTAGCTTTAGCCTTCTCTCTTTATTTGATCTTGAGATCTCAAAGGAAAAAGTTGCAGAGATCTTAATTAGTTTCTATATATATAGCCTTCACCAATGGGCCTGCTAAACTAGGACTAGGGACCAGAGGTTATATCTTGGGTAAATCTAAGGTTCAAATTCTATGGCAAGGTTGTTTTGCTAACCTATTTGCTTTCACAATACTTTTTAGTTTTTTCTACAGCTGCATTTGTTTTTTCTTTTCTTTTCTTTGCATTTTGGAGTTGCTTTTTCGAAAAAGCGTAAATGCTCTCAACGATGCCCACTGATAATTGTATTATCTTCTACATTTTGAACTTCCTTTTTTTTTTTTTCGGCAGTTGCTTTCACAATTCTCCACTACCCCAACACTATATAGTATCGATAATGTTACAGTTATAATATTAAGAAGAATTACTATAATTATAATATCATATAAAATTAATATACTTATAGTATTACGTAAAATTGTAAATTTATAATGATAACGTGATATTAAATTATGTAACATATTATTAAATAAGTAAATATAAATAATATCATAAATCAACTTTAAGTAAAAAGAGCCAAACATATAATAATACATCATATTATAAATTTACAATATCACATGACATTATATTAATCCTTTCATTCAAATTTAGTAATTTAACTTTTTAATATTTTAGACATAATTAAGTTTTATATGAAAGTTTAACATATGGTAATTGAAAATTTTGTTTAATTAAATAAAAATACTCAACAAGAATTATATATAAGAAAAAAAAAATTTCAATTATTGTTTAAATAAATTGTTAAATTTTTATTTAAAATTTATATTCAAAAAGTTAAAATATTAAACCAAGACTATTAAATTTGAACAGAAAAGTCTATCTGTTTCGATATAGAGGTATACAACAATCTTGAACAAACTCTAAAGCTTAGGATAAGTCAATAAGACCTTGTTCGAGTAGATAAACAACAGAGCACCTTCAAAGGTCTAGGATTGAAAGCCATGTGAAAGATTGCATAACCTCACATGCTCAAAATTAATGCATTAACAATCATCCATTTTTTAAGAAATGAAAATAATGAACAAGATTTTTAGAGAAAAATATGCAATCATTCAATTGGTACTACAAAAACATCTGCCAGATCTCCTCGGTAAATTTTTGCATATGACCACATCACTACCACTTAAGTTCCAGACACACCATGGGTTAAGTAATTTCCTAAAATAGGAAGCAAACACTCCCAACATTTCAGAAAATTACATTTAATGAAGATAGTTTGGAAATCTGAGAAACTTTGGAGCCCTCAATCCTCCATATCTGGATATATACCCTCACTGCATCTCTTAGATCACTTCTCTCAGCCCTGTTCTCTAAAATATTAGGGTCAAGAAGTGAAATTGTTTGCTTCATTTTATAATTGTAGGTCAAAAGGAACACTTTGGTTTTCTGATATTTGTGGAATGTACAGAAGCAGCAGAGGAATGGAGAAGACACGTCTGCCCAAAAATGAGAGTGGCAAATGGGACTGTAGCAGCTTCAGCTTGGGAGAAGATGATGACCGATATGCATGTGGATTTCCATGGGCTCCAAAGTACTACACTTGTAGTTTCTGCAAGAGAGAATTCAAGTCAGCTCAGGCTCTTGGAGGTCACATGAATGTTCATAGGAGGGAAAGAGCTAGGTTGAGGCTGCAGTTGCCTTCTTCATGGGTCTGTGAATACCATAACCCTAAACCCAACTCAAACCCTAACCCTAATTTTTCATCTCCTTCTCATCCATACAATGTCCATCTCTCCTTATTTTCTCCATCAGTCCCTTCGTCTTCTTCTTCAATGCCATGGGAAAAGGGAAAAATCCCTTTAGTTGTTCCTCAAGTTGGAGATCTGACGGAAGGGAAGACGAAGATATCACCTCCTCTAGAGCTTGGTGGGGTTTCTGGCATGAACATGGACAAAGAGTTCAAGGATGATCCAAAGGAAGTTGTGGATTTGGAACTTCGACTTGGGTGTTTTTAGGTGCAATCTTTTTCAGCTTTTCACTTTAATGTTGGTTTCCTTTCTTCCATATGCATCATATCTATCTATGCTTTCATTTCTACTTTTTCTTTTCTCCATGTTTTGTGATATGCTTAAGAATTCATCAGGGAAGTAAACAAAGTAAGAAAAGCTGCAATCAAAATTTGCTCACTTGCCTGTGAATAGTAAAAAATTACATTGGGCTTTCAGCAAATATATATAGAGAGATTTGTTTCTTCAAAGAAGATCTTTCTCTTGTATTAATTCTGAAACTCTTTTTTGATTTTTTTTTCATTTAATATATCTACCATATATAAATGTTCTTGATGATCATGATATTTTGATTTTTCTTGTATTGGGAGTTTACCCTAATGTCTATACCATGATTACTGAATGAAGTAAAATGCAATGAAGAAAAAGCTCTTGAGATATCTTCAAGAGATGAAAAAAAGGACATAAAGGAGGCATTATGATAGCATACATGAATAGTAGGGCAAAATAATTAGCTTCTATATGTAGGCATGCGCCAGACTGTACAAATGCTTGGGCAAACTGTTTGATAATTGCACTACAGAGCCAAAAAAAAGGAAGAAAAAAATTATCAATACTCTCCCCCTATAAAATTTTCATTTTGAATGTGTAATTTTTTGAGAATGTTTTTTTATAAAAAAATTCTCTAGAATTTTATGATTTTTTATGTAATTGGAGGGAGGGAAGAGAGATTTAATGTCTCAATGTCTCATTAATCTAAGAATTTTATAATTTTTTTAAGGT